GCTCCTACCGCCACATTCGATGCATCTGTCATGATAGCTAATGGTGTTTCGCTCTTTCTTTTAGCTAGTGTCGTCTTTTTGTTGAGTGCCTTCTTGGCGTTCTCGAAGGCCTGTATTGCCTCTGCTGATAATTGAAATGTCCGGAAGTGTCCCCGTAACGCATCGGTCAGTGGTTGAAGTATTGCCGCACAATTCGGAATAAAACGTCTGTAATAATTTATTAGTCCCAGAAATCGTCGTAATTTCTTCCGTGTATCGGGCAACGGGTAGTCTCTGATGGTATCGATTTCTGTAGAGATCGGCGTGATACCTTGAGAAGTTACCATGTGTCTAAGGAACTGTAAGGATCCTTTTCCAAACTCGCATTTCTCAATGTTTATGGAAATACCGTGATCTCTTAGTCGCACGAATAATTGTCGCAGTTGCTGTATGTGCTCGTCCATAGTGGAGCTGGCTACTAGTAAATCATCTATGTATGCGTATACTCCAGGTAAGCCTCTGATGACCTGGTCAATAAATCGTTGAAATGTTTGTGCTGCATTAGTCAATCCGAAAGGCATGCGTAAGAATTCATATAGCCCAAAAGGGGTTGTTACCGCTGTTTTTGATATGTCTTGTGGAGCGACCGAGATGTGATAATACGCTCTAACTAAGTCAATCTTCGAGAATACTGTAGCACCTTCTATACTGTAGGTAAAATCATGGATGTGTGGTACAGGGTATCTATCGGCCATTGTTTGCTTGGTAAGTGCTCGATAGTCTCCACATGGTCTTAATTCTCCGTTCTTTTTCGGAGCCATGTGCAATGGGGATGCCCACGGGCTGTTCGAAGGCCTTACTATGCCTAGCCTCATTAACTTGTCGAATTCCTGCTTTGCTATTGCTAGCCTTTTTGGGTCTAATATTCTTGGCCTTGCATTAACAGGTGGCCCGTTGGTTATGATATGGTGCTGGATAGTATGCTTGAAATCCGTTTTACTGTACGTTACTTTTAAAAGCTCGGGAAACTCGTTTAACAATAATTTACGTGGGTTGTTGCGGCTTTTATCTACCACTAGATTCATGACAGATTCTGTAAGTGTTCCCTTAATCGAAGTAGTGTGAGTACCGTTTATGAGTATGTGGCGCCGTGAGTCTACTAGTAAATCGAAGTTACATAGGAAGTCGATGCCTATTATGGATACTGATACGTCTGCTATAACAAAATCCCAGCGGTATGTAGCGTCTCGTCCGAAATTTAAGGACAATTTTCGCTTGCCGTATGTTTTTATGTCGGATCTATTTGCTGCTTTAAGAGCTAACGCGGTATCGATATTTTGTCTTTCGTTGTTCAATGGGGGTACGACGCTTATCTCCGCTCCCGTGTCTACTAGAAATTGCGCGCCTGTCACTTTGTCCTGAACATAAAATAAACGATTGCTCCTGGGAGTCGCGTTAATTGTCGTAGTCGTCACTGAAAATCGGTGGGATCGTTTGAATTTGCATGGAGATCTGCATTTTCGAGCTCTGTACCCAAACGTTTGATGGTATCAGCATATATTAGGATCTGGGATTCCCTTAGAGAATGATCGATTTCTATCTCTTGATCGGCTACGCGACCAATTTCTTTTCCTGTCGTTGCGATTTAGGCTCGTTAGTTTGTGGCATAGTACATTAATTTCCTTTTGTAACGCCTCTATTCTTTTGTCTACCGTGGAGCTGAGCGTTTGTGGAGTCGCATGTCCCGTTCTCTCGTAAATCTTATCAACTATTTTAGCGATGTTGTCTATGTCTACCTCGCTGTCTCCAACAGCAAGGATCTGCTGCACATTCGGCGGGAGTCGTCGTAGCCACAACTGGTAAAATATATTTTTATCTACATTTCTGTCTCCAGTCACTTTGCTCATATAAGTCTTTAACTGCGATGGCGTTCTATCTCCGATCTGCACTTCACTGAGCAATTGCTCGACAGCTTGCCGGTCGTTTAATGAGAGAGCTTTTGCTACTGCCTGTTTCAATACGTCGTACGGATTTATCGTATCCGGCTTAGTGAGGACCTCTCGCACCTTGTCTGCTACTTCGTCTGGAAGTAGTGAGCTTGCATAGCCGAACTTATGTCGCTGTAAGAGGATACGATTGGCTACGAAATAATTTCCAAGTCTAATAAACCAAAGTTGAGGGTCATTACCATTAAAAGAGGGAATAGCAACATTAATAGCTCCCACGGGTGGTGTCTGTGAAAGATCGATTGTGTCGTTATTTAAAGACATTAATAAGAAAAAATTAAATAATATGCGAATATAACGTAATTGTCACTAAGAGAAATGGATCGACGAAAACAATGATAACAACAAATGGTACAATTTATAACATAGAACGGACTTACTGGATTGCACCAATATATCAATTGTTCGTGAATAATCGTTATTTATTATGAATATTATCGTTAAGTTCAATAATGTTTATGGGATAATGTACGTGCGATTAAAATTGTGATATAATAAATCCGCAATTATGATTATAATCCGGATAATAATTCGAATAGAAATAGAGTACGTTGAATTTTCGAAATGAGATTCTCTCGTCGAAAATTGTTTCGTCCTCGCACACGAAAATCGCTAGTTCTGCTTCGTGTTCGTACGTAAAGGTCGTCAATTCTGGTTCGTATTCGTTCGACGAGGCATCCAATTCTGTGTTCGTGTTCGCTCGGCGAGGCTTCCGATTCTGTGGTGGTCGATATTCGATATTATCCCTAACGTCGTATATTGTTCGTCTTAATAACCGTTACTCGATAACGTCCTAACGGTGTATAAATCAGCAGGCGAATACGAAGGGCTGATTGCGTTTATTATTGAACCACACACTGGTATCCAATATTACGGGCACGTTAAGTAAGCATGAAAGAGCAGTGCCGTAAAGCAGGCGAGTGAGCGTGAGAGCCGAATGAGTGAGTAAACGTGTACAATACGGTGTAGCGTAGAGCAGAGCAGAGAGCAAGCAGCAAACAGGATTAAGATGTACATATATATATATGAGTGGAAAAGCATGAGTCATCGGATCAATTAAGAGATTAATAATAAGGCTAGCGGAGTGAATACATGCGTAGGCAATAAGCAATGCTCAAGCGTATATAATAAAAGTACAATGATATAGATAGGTTGTTATTGTATGAATGACTGTCCATTAGATAAGCTAACAAAAGGGCTTAGCCAGATTAGATGTAAACAAACTCAAATTTATCTGAGCTGCTATACACCATTGCGTTATCCAATCGACCACTGAGTCCTGATAGCCACTTGCTTGTGCAATATGGTGAAGTTTAAATTTACTTATTATTGTTTGTTTGAATGTTCCCATTGATGTTTAGGCCTGCAACTGGTCGGTCTCTTATTGGCCATATGTGCATACTGTGCTTACTTTTTCGATATATATATCAGGACTTAGTAGCTGAGTTTATAACGGGTTTTTGACACTAGAAAACAATCCCGGCTTTGAGTAAAGCCAAAAAGGGTCATTACTTTGCTTCAGTGACTTTTTCAAATAAGAAACACGTTTACTTTTAAAGTTTGGTTTGATTCAATTAAAAAGGGGGTTTATTCATTGTGTAAGGTCTAATGATGTTCACATAGACTAACAGTATTTTCGTGACAGAGAAATAGTTGAATTCAGATTCTGAATATATTTTCAATGAATAATAATCCCAAATCATTGAAATCCAAATTTTAATTTTTAAAATGTATTTATAAAACATATCTAACAACTGTAGTGAAGTTCGAACAAAAAATCATTCAAATTGTAATATGCTAAAACACTACTTATTAGTAGCTAAACTCTTTTCTTTGAATTTTCAGATCTTAGTAATCAGTTTCGTTGTCTTCATGATGTCAGTTCGGAAATATGAAACGCCTTTCAAGTTTAAGACACAAACTTCGAATGTTTCTGTATGAATATACAAATAATCCCCCCAATCTAAAATTGTTCTGTTAAAAATAGAGTTTTGCAGTCAAAGATAGCTAGGTAATTATAAGATACAGACTAACATTTTTTTAAGTTTAGTCTAGATTTACAAAATCTTAATAAGTTTTTGGACGTCTCATTAGAGCGAAGCTTGCTGTAAAATTGCCTAATTACGATGATTCACTTCAAACAGCAGTTTTCAACCCTCAGGAACTATTTAGTGGACAAAAATACAGTTTGAATATACAACACATACGTCACCATATAAAACATCTTTCCCATTAATTAGGTAATAATTTACTTACGCCTGTTACTCCTAATGAAACATAGGCCATTGACCAGCATTTTCCAACCCACTATATCCTGGGACTTCCTTTCAAGTTTTATCCAAATATTGTCCATTCTCCTCATATCTGTCTCCATTTATCGGCGTAATGTGTTCTTTGTCTTCCTGTTCTCCTTTGATCTTGGGGACACCAAGTGGGAGCCTGTCTCGTGATGCAGTTAGCTGCTTTCCTCAATGTGTCTTATCCACTTTCAGCCCTTCTTACTGATTTCTTACTCCACTGGAATTTGCTTTGTTGTCTCCCACAGTGGGTTGTTGCTGATAGTGTCAGGCCAACGAATCTGAAGTATTTTGCGTAGACAAGTGTTAATAAACACCTATATCTTCTGGATGATTGCTTTCGTAGTTCTCCAGGTTTCCGCAGCATACAGTAGAACTGTCTTGACATTTGTATTGAAAATTTTGGGGTTGGTGTTGGTTGACAATTATTTTGAGTTCCAGATGTTCTTCAGTTTTAAATATGCTGCTCTCGCTTTGTCAATCCGCGTCTTTACGGCTGCATCAGATCTACTGTGTTCATCAATGATGCTGCCCAGATATGTAAAGTTTTTTACATCCTCAAAAGCTTATCCATGAAGTGTGATTCGATTGGTGCATGATGTATTGTAGCGGAGAAACTTAGGCAATGAGCATTTTGCTTAATAATAGTACAAGGGGGATAATTAAAATAAACGTGCATTGTGATACTAAATTCCATGAAAACAAAGTTATCACTCACCTGTTGACGTTTAGAATTACGTAACCTATTATTACTGGAAATGGGACCACCTTTATCACGTCGATTGTATTTAAAAGACGAATGATTTGTTGGACAATCCTCAATCTGATCATTATTTGTTGGTTCAAAAACATTACATAGTCTTTCATTTGCAATGATATAACCATTAACTTTTTGTTCTGCTGAATCATTCCCATTCAAAACCGTTGGTACTACTGCCTTCTTTGTATTGTCATTTCCAGGAGAGATAGGCTGTTTAACTTTTGTGATATGTATCAAAAGATTAGTAGATGAATTAAAAATGTGATATTGAAATCAACCAAAAATTCATCCAAATGATAGATCTCATAAAACAACATAAACTTTGACCAAGAATATATAACTTAACAGTTCAGTCATACATAAGTCCAATCTCATGTGTATGTTCAATGCCTACATACTAACTAAATTTTCTCGATCTTACATACATATAAGTATAAGTATGATATCCAGATCAAAAAACTATTTTCTATACATTTAATTGATTTCATAACAATTTAAGAATAGAGAAACGTTTTTGTCTCTACCTCTACACAATTAATGATTGTTATGTAATAAAATGAAAATTTTCAAAGCCCTTAAAAAGTAACGATTATTAGAGAAGGATATCTTCTGTCAATCTAAGAATAAGAAATACGTATCAAGTAAATGACAAACATTAGTCATAAGTAACTCAGTGCATTATATCGATCAGACAAAAGAGGATATGGATAATACGATTGAAAAATAATCTTGCAAAATCATCCGATTAACAGAAAGAGGCTATGCTAAAGAATTTTAGACTGAAAACATCCGTGAGCCTGAGAAGTGAGACAAGAAAAAAAATAATACTATGGTAATGGTCAAAACACGGGTGGGGACAACCGAATGTATTTAAGCACAAATTACAAACTTTCTTAGTAAGATCTGATAACCATACAGTAAACAGTTAATTTGCAAAATAACAATCAATTGTTTCAATCTTCACTGCTCCTTCTGTAAATATCAGTCCATCGTCTCTGATTTCATTGTTCATGCATTTTCCTACCAATTGCGCTTCATTTCAGTTCTTTCCTTATCGGTCTTCAGCGATAATACATTCTATGTCCGACCAACCCTATATACTACTTATATGGATATAAGTAGACCACACTACACTATGAGCAATGATATGATCGGATGGGTTTAATTTCTCGTTTCCGTCAGAAAACTGATTATTGTACAAACAAACAGTTTGTATACCTTCCAACTAAGACTTTACAAAATATGCTTTTAAACTGTATTTTATTTATTCATTTGGACACATGAAATATTGGTACAAAGAGGCACGAAATACATATGTGCCACATAACTGAAGTATACACCTCACTCTAAACACCCTTTATTTGTTTGTTCTTTACAACCGCGAGTAAAACCAGTAAATATAATTGGGAATGAAGTGAGCAAGGACTCTACCTGGAGTACAACAGTAGTTTACTGATAACGTAAAGTGGTGAATTAAATTGAAACAGATCGTAAGAAAGCTTTTGTTAATCTGTCTTTCTATTATTTATTGTCTCGTTTTGATATTAAATTTGAGTTAGTTTTGCAACTCCATAGTTTTGTACATGTAAACAAACATAAGAGATCATTTGCTATAAATATGTTTAGTAATCCTTGAACACAAAGTTAGTTGATTCAAACAATTAATCAAAGTATTTCGGTCATTTTTACCTGACAAAAAACGATCGACAAAAGTGACATTTAACTACTCTGAAAATCTATATGTTTGAAGACTTTCCAAAATCAAGCAACATGATACTTATCAAACTAACGTTTGAATTAGAAAAAACAATAAACGATTGAATAATATGCAGGGATAGGTAACTATTTCGTCTTAGTCTGAGATTCTTCGTCAGTATGAATCGATTATCCGATAAACAATCAAACCAATGACTTTTAATTCTTGAAGATAGGGTATGATTTTTTCCAGCTAAATTCACTTTCATCAGAAGAGGTTTTGTGGAGATTTCAGTATTTACATAGTTGAAATCATGAGTCGATAGAAGCTAGACCACCATAGAAAACCTGGAAGCACTGGACGTCCCACAATAGGACGAATTGGCCGTCCAGTGCTTTCAAGTTTTTCATGGTGGTCTAGCTTCAATTGACTCATGATTTCAACTATGCAAATTTCACTTTCAGTCACTTTTAAAAAGTACAATAATGACTATTACACAACGTTATTGTTCTCTTGATTTTAATATTTCTGACTAACTTAACAGGTCATATGTTTTGTCTAGAACGCCAGGAACTTCACTAGAAAGCTAAAAATCAATTTTTACTAGTACAATTTATTGTTCATTAGTTTAATGATCATCAATTCATTTCGTTGTTATGAATAATAAAAATGATTTCATTTATTTATTTACCAAGGTAATTGGCAAAAACAATTTGTATAAGCTACTATTGAATATTTTTGTTTAAAATTGTTTATAGTTACAAAAAGTGCTAGAAATTTAGAATTAACTTTTACACAACCATTTGATAGATTCAAATCATTATGACAACTTAACAAGATTATAGGAAATCCATCTTATAACTATGATTTCACTAGTGGAATGTGATTGATTTATTTGTTTCTGTAATATTACTACTCAAAATAGTAACCAACCACAAAAGAAATTATGAACAACAATAATGAACTCACTTTGAGAGTTATTGATAGCTTGTGCTAATTGTTGAGAAATATTTGATGTTAAATAGAAACCTTCATTATCATTTTTATTAAGAATAACATTCTGGAAGATAGAAACATAGAAACAGAATAATAAAAACTATTAAAGATCTTCACCTTATGTTATCATATCTTAACTGGATCTTGTTTGGTAGATGTTTACTTCAATACAGTTTGTAGTTAAACTAAGAATACAATAAAAGGCATACAATCTATTTTATAATATTCTAACATAACTTAGAAACCTAACTCCTAAATTTGTTATGGATCCTGGGTCTTTGGCTGGGTTCCCGCGTGCGGAGTTCTATACTTGAACAAAATGGTGATCCAGTATTGAAAGGTATTCAATAGTGATAATACTTAGATTGGTTTATGATTTCAAGAAAATTTTACAATCTCCGCAATCCCTTACTGCGAGTTTATATGGATTGTTGACTGATACATTCTTATTGAGACCTTAGAACGTATTACATTCCAAACATTTACAACTTTTTATCTCGGGGTCTTATGTAGAGGATTAATTCCTCTATATCTGACTCCAATATATAAATAATATCTCACAAACTGAATATTTACTGCAGGCTAAATCTCCAAGTAGAATTACGGGTTTACTCGAGATTATTCAAAAGCCTGAACACCAGTTATAGAGATAGTTTATTGATGAAGCTCGGTAAAATCCGCAAGCGTACAGAAAGCAAGCACACAAGGAAAACAAGTGAGTGAGTGTGTGTGTGAGTGTTAAAAATCCATATATATTTTTGAGTGTTAATGGATTGTGGATAAATTATTGATTGTCTTTGTTTACAACCAATGAGAGAACAAATTAAGGATTGATGTGCAGACATGCGCTCAATCAGACTCACACATAAATTTACAGTGGGTTAAATGTTAGGATTACAGAGAGCACATAAAAAATACAGTAGTTTAATGGGCTTGCTACACTTATACCTCACAAGCAAATGGTTAGTTAGATTTTACAGGTCTGTGGAATAACTCTTCAAAAATTTGGGATCATCTATGTTACTGTATTTTGCATAAATACCGTACTTCATTGGAATATGGTAGATCAATTTGAATAGTCAGACTCTGCCAATAGTGACGATGAGTATTTGGCATAATATCTTCAGACATCTTCCACTAAAATAATACATTAAAATAACCTAGTAATTCTTTTTTTCTATAACGAATTATGCACAAATCGCTTTGAAGAAATGTCGAACATATGCTTTAAATGAAAGGTGACCATTGACAAATCCTTTCGACATTGTCTATTAGTTGTGAAATATTTTCTTTTATTATTACCTGACCGATATAATCAAATGCAGGGTGAACTTCACATATCGTCGACAGACCTATAGTGGTCTATTACCAAACTGGAGTTAAAAAAGGGGTAGGAGATATATTTCCTGTTATTCAGAACAATGTGTGTGTACTATACGTATCAACAAGCTACACTCTGTTGTTTGGGCTACCCTCAATGGTTTCAAATACTACCCTTGAAATATTTAAGACAAAGCCGATATAAAAAGAGGCAAAGATATTAAAAAGATACCTAATTTTATCAAAAAGTATTGTCTCTATAATTATGTACGGAGTCATACTGAAATGCTGTTCACTATTCAAGCAGAAGTCAATCCTAAATAATAAGATTCTTTTGACAGATAGACTTTCAGAATTCTCTCTATTTGATTGAGTTGCGATTGTGAAGTAGGGTTTTCCTACTTATCAGTGTAGTAAAGTGCAATAAAATAATTTGACAAAGATATTGTACCACATAGACAAATAAACACTGACTCATTCTTCTATCTGTATTAGTTATGGCAATTGATACTTTCTTAAATAAATTATAGAAGTTTTACTGTTATCGCATTATATGTACTTGACAATTTAAAGATAGGGTTGAACTCAATCGGTCACGGCTTCTCATTAGAACTCCAGGAAATCCATCTTGAAGCTATTTACTGTAGAGCACATGATAATTATCAGTATAGGGTTATGGAGATTGTTGAGTTTAGATTGATATTTAAAGATAAGTAAAGTGTGGTCCTAAAATTTTACTTCTTAACAACGTGATGCGTTAATTTATCATGAGAGTATACTAAATGAGATATAGTTATAACTAGTGCTTCAAAAACAAAGAAAATAAACTATATATGCAATTATTTTAAGGTACAATGGTTCCAAGATGACTATTATTTTTCATATGATGAATTAAAGAAGTATTGTATCTGGTTGTTTGGCTAAAAGAAACCCTGTAGTAGATTGGTAACTCAACTTTCAAACGTTACAGTTAGAGGTATGATCATCATTTCGGTGGTCAGGTGATGGGTTTAACATTGACATTATTTACTAATTGTCAAGCATTGTCAAGCATTATTTACCTAAGATAGCCTACTGAGATTGATTTAAAATAATAAACTCAGCTTGTTTTAGTGAAATGGTTTACATTTTAAAAACTCTTGCTACAAAACATGCCTGTATAGCAAATCGTTGAAATTCTACATGGAATACAATCCCAATACAACTCAATCGATAATACAATGATTTTTGATTTGAAGTTAAACATGTTACATACGGTGACAATAATGATTTTATTCATTTATGATATTACGAGCAATCGATTTACATTTTAATTACCACAATGAAATCACTGGGCGAAGTCAAATACACTTTGGACTGGTCGACAATAGGAAATGCACACTTCGTGGGTGACAATAGCGATATGTTGTTGGGGGCGGTAAAAGACATGAATGAAAATTAGTCACAGCGACTAGTATATATATAATTCACACAATGATATAAACTGAAGCCGCAAATTAATTAGGAAAGATGACACATTCCCAAAAAATGAATTTATAGCTTTCGACTGCTAGGTAACAGAATCATATTTAGTTCTAATCGCTATAGCTTAACACAACCGAATAGTTTCATTAGTTCATATACAAATTATGTAGTTGTAAGTACGAACAAGAACTTTGAATTAGCCATAGTGTTGCCTCATTATCATTCCTTTATTAAATTTTCATGTTGTTGTTAAAATGACCATTAACTAAACAAAAAGATTGTTGCTGGTTTGTTGCATAATGGTCTAAATCGATTTTTATTGGCTACAATAAAGGAGAAAATTTATTGCGTAAGCCTGTGATAATTATAATGACCTTGGAAAGGTTGTTGCACTAACATACACATACTTATAAAGCGCATAGGATGACTAATATACGCGAGATATAATGTAATCTTTCATACTAGTCTGCAACTGTGTCAATCACTTATTACCATGGTTCACTCGATGAAACATATACAGATTGTGACAACGTTACCATATGAAGATACAACAAAAGTCTTTGAAGAGTATTCATTTATCAAACAAAATTATGATGTCCTATAGATGATAAACATATAATTACCATCATATTGTATTTGAAAAATTAAAAATTGTATTCTGAATGTAATGTGGGTCAATGTTTTTTTCTGTCTAAATCGACGTTAAATTACATTACACTAGTTGGTCGAAACATTTTTGATGGTTACTGTATCACTATGAAATGACCCAAATCTGAGTATTGTCCTATCAAATCTAATCAACATAGAGCATAGCACAAATGCATGTTATTAAATCACAATGACAAGACGATATGAAAGCATTAGGATGCAAAACAAAAGGAATTGAATTTATGTAGTCACAAAAATAATAAAAAAATATCCATTTCGAATATGGTAAGCAATCATGGATATTGACTAGCAGTGGAATCCAGGACGCGCGTCAATTCGTCCTATTTGTGACTCGTCAGCTGGATGTACCTGCATCTCAGAGTTGATGTTCACTCTGGGACTTGAACCCAGTACTTTTCACTTCAAACGCCATCGCGTTATCCACTCTGCTACTAAGTCCTGATAGTCACTTGCTTGTGCGATGGCGTGAAGTTTAAATTCACTTAATAGTTTGTTTGAATCTTCACATTGATGGTTTAGGACTGCAACTGGTCAGTCTCTAATTGGCATATGTGCATACTGTGGCTATCAGGACTCAGTGGCCGAGTGGATAACGCGATGGCGTTTGAAGCGAAAGGTACTGGGTTCGAGTCCCATAGTGAACATCAACTCTGAGATGCAGGTACATCCAGCTGACGAGTCTCAAATAGGACTAAATGCGCGCCCTGGATTCCACTGCTAGCCACTAACCATCTCTGCTTACCATACTTGTGAAATATGGCTATATCGAGGCAATACGCACAGTATGCACATATGCCAATTAGAGACTGACCAGTTGCAGTCCTAACACATCAATGGGAATATTAAAACAAACAATATTAAGTGAATTCATTCCGAATATGTTTTGAAAAGATATGCATGAAGGAATGTTAGAGTTGAAGATTGAGATACTTACTCTTAATTCGGTCGCCCTTATTATTGTTCAATTACAGGGTAATGTTGAAGAAAAGATAATATAGGTGAGAAACATGAAGAATATCTAACAGAAAATATAGTTCATCTTTTTAGTTGTTTAAGACTGCAAAAATGTATTAGTAAGAGTTATCATTGTTTTTACTCTTTATGTTATATTATAGTCAACCTTCAACAACTGTTTAAACAAACTAGAAACTGAAAACGGATCAGACAATAGCTGAAATGAATGATATAAATCAATATTTTTTTGTGGAATGTGCTTTCATCAAAACAACTAAATTGAATGTATTGATGTATTAATTATTTATTTTCACTGTACCTAGTCACTGATACACTTGTGGTGTGGGTTACTTATATCCATATAAGTAGTGTATGGTGATGGTCAGGCATAGAATGTATTTTGGCAGAAGATCGATTAGGAAAGAACAAAAATTTAGCGCAATCAGTATGAAAATGAATGAACAATGAAATCAGAGAAGATGGACTGATATTTGCAGAAGGAACAGTCAACATTAAGACAATTGATTGATAGTTTGCAAATTAACTGTTCATTGTATCGTTATCAGATTTTAGTGAGATAGTCTGTAAATTGTGCGTAAATACACTTGATTGTCCCTACCCGTGTTCTGTTCACTAAACACTTCCTAGTATTGTGATTAATTTAAGGGTAGATAATACGCCTAAATTTAAGTCATACCATCAATCTCCAAAAGATGATATATTTTTGCTAAGATTAAGTATATCTCTATTATGTACATTATATTTAGAAAAAAAACACATTCCAATACGTGTGTTCAGGAATTAATTCTACTGTTTATATAAGATCAAACCAAGTTCCACCCATTATGATTTCAGCAAACAAAAGTGTTACTTATATGCACAATTAGTTAAATCTCATACGAATCAGTACATTTGTTACATTGGTAGCACTTATACAAAGATTTCATCAATATTCTTCTGTACACCTTAAATAACTACATCACATGTTTTGATAAATAGTTTCTAATCAACATTTAAAGTGCATGACTCAATATAGTGGTCGGTTCCTTTCCCCTTCCCCATAATAAACAAATGTTTAATTGTAATGAAAATAAATTACTTTTTTAAAACACCAATTTGTAATCGAAGTATTTCCTCTATTTTTTTTTCTGTGGTTATTATTCTCTTCTTTTTATAAAGAGAAACAAGTTAGCACTTTATATAAATTAAAACAAATTGTAACGATAAATCAACTTATTCAATGTTCAATTTCTAAAACAAAATGAATAATGTTATTTCCTTGCCCATTTACTAACATTCGACAAGTAAGATATAAGTAACCTAGTTACTAGATGATAAAATTTTGATAATAGGAAATAATAATACTAGTAATATAGCCGTTTTGTAAAGATATCTTTTTATTATAAATCTATTACTATGTGTATATGTAGGAGCATAATTCAAATGATTTTGGTCAAAAGTTCAATGCATTGTATAAGATACATAAAGAAAAAAAAAATTTGGGCGGATTTCGTAAACCATTCATAATGTATAGACAAATTCTATCCCATTTGTCTGTTAACAATGTTGTATATACATATTGAAGTATATATCTGTTTGTTTGTTTGTTTGTTTATAAACATAATGTAAATACATACATTAAAATAGTTATTCAAATCAACTTCACTGCTTAATCATTATATAGAGAATAGAATGTAAATGAACTATTGATACAGTTAATGTTAGGATTCTTAATGACTTCTAGGGTGAATTATATCAATCGATTAACAAACAAAATTAGTATGGAATGAAGAACTAAAACAAATCATTGAGATTCAGTCCAGTTAATTCAAATTAACTATAGATAGAGTCTGTTGGATAAAGTTATTTAATGGGTGGGGCAACAAAAAAGTAATATTGATAGTGTGAATATGATAGAAACGGAATGAGAGAGTTTAATTTGGTAGAAGATAAACTGTTTGATAAAGTAAAAGCAAACCTTGTGATAAAACAAATTTCAGTAAATCATGTTCATTTATAAATATAATTGGATTGCAAATAATACAGCTATTACATGACTTACATAATCCTTGCTACTAGGTTCAAAATTATACCACATAGTGCCAGAGGCATTACCATTGGGTTATCATGTCTGCTTTACGCAGGAAGTCCCCGGTTCGAACCCGGGCCGAACCAGGCTTTTGGGAGGCAAAATCCAACTCACACGTCCTCGTCGTGCCTCCTGGATCATGGCAACCATCCCATGTACTAACGTGAGCGGTAATGTGGGTGGCGGAGATCGGCCTAATCAACCACTCTACCAATACCCACAAACGATTACGAATGTTACAAAGAGTCATTGCATAACTATTGAGGGTTCAAAAGAGTGGTAAAAAATGAGTCTGCCCTAAACAAAAAAAAATCGGTTGTGATTGTTAAGTGATGGTTCTGCGTAAGCAGTGCAGAAACAGCTATTCCGCCCCAGTAGTTGTGCCGTGCTTCGATGTAGCATTCTTCTCCAGAAGGGCCTACTAGGCTTCACCATTCTATATGGCTGGAAGGGGCACCATTGGGTTATTTCAGCCTCTACAGACTTGTCAAAGTGATGGATTCACATTGAATACTCTCCTATGTTATTTTTCTAATCCGTACTTCCAAGTGAATGCTAAAAGTTAATTCAAAACGTCACAACTAATTTAAATGAATGCACTGATACTGAACCTATTTCCTATGTTACATGGTTGGAGACAATCGGTATCCTGATGATATCAAGTAATTTGTGCTAGTAATCTGATACAAAGGATTCGATCAGCATAACCAAACAAAAAACATAACATCAGTTGCATATTTATTTTTAGCTCAGGAAAGCTAAACAGATTTTGCAACAACTTTCTCAAACATTTATATTAATTCGCTTAGTATTGTTTGTTTGAATCTTCCCATGGGAAGAACAAACAATACTAAGTGAATTTAAACTTCACCCCATTGCACAAGCAAGTGGCGACTAGGACACAGTAGCTGAGTGGATAACGTGACGGCCTTCGAAGCGAAAGGTACTGGGTTCGAGTCCCAGAGTGAACATCAACTCTGAGATGCAGGTACATCTAGCTGACGAATCCCAAATAGGACAAAGTGATGCGCGTCCTGGATTTCACTGCTAGCCACTATCCATCTTTGCTTATTTATATTAATTAATTTTAATTAGGTGATGATTCTACTAAACAATATGCATAAAAATTTTGATTTATATTAATGTAATATAACATACCTCATAAGCCGAAGAATACATATTCGTTGTTAATGATTCGTTATCATCAGTCGATAAAGAACTAAATGACGATCCAGACTTCAATGTTTCATTTATACAAGAATGTGTTGATTCATTATGACTAAAATTCTCAGTACGATTATAATCAGTTAAGTGTAGTTTAACATTTGATTTGTCAAATTGTTCTTTCTTGTTATTTGTTGTTGAATAAGTGGAGTTTTGAATTGTCAACGAAGGACTTTGAGTAGGATATTTTAGTCAGTTTTAATTTGTTTGTTTTGAAAAATAGAACAAAGTAAATATACAATAAAAATGGTTATGTGATTGGAATTAATGTTTAATTTTAATGAGATCAGTTAAGATAATTGATAGAGTAGAGTTGTTAAGGTTTCAAATTACTAGCTAAAAGATTTAACTGACTGTTAACTTTTTGAAGATGAAAATATAATCACTCGACTATACATTACTGACGATTATTGTACTATTCAATATCCATAGTTGTCTGAACGATAGGTATTTTTCATTAGTTAAAGATATATGGATGTTAACAATATCTTAAATATTTGAAAGCAGTGAATAAAATGATGGTTCAAGTATAATGTACTTGATGTCTTTAGGAATCACATCACTCATTAAATAAGAAAACTTTGAGTGGCTAATTCGTACTAAAGAATGATAGAGTGATATGAACAATTTACGATGAAGTATAACAGATAATCAGAAATATCTTAAAAATGAACAAATAATTAAAAGACTCATTGATACTAAGTTGCTCATTAACTATTGATTTTGAACTATTTTAAAGATTTTCCAAAACCTAAAATTAATAACTTTTAGCAGAGTGAACAATAACACCATCAAAAATTATAGATATTTAAAACTTTGAAGAAGTATCTCTTGTCTTGTTCATGAGACGGTTGGTTTCAAAGTAGAGGACTAAATGAATTTCAAAATAATAAAAAGATGGTGTATCGATATACGTTGGTTTGAGTATTCCAAATATCCTAAGACGAAGGATTTAGTCTATACATTCACTTAATCTTTTGTTCATCTTCCGTTAAATAGTTCCATATATATTGGTCCATCAGGGTGTTTGGTAGCTGTATGGTTGAGCCACAGGATTGAGCTGTACTGTTCAGATTGTAGCGTTGAAGCCCTATATAGTGTCTGGTTCTCTTGTGGGGCGGGGTTGAGCTGTACTGATCGGGTAAAGCCTGAGAGTGGTGTCTGGCTCTCCTGTTAAACGGTATCGAGCTGTACTGTTGACGTTGTTACGTGAAAGTCTGTAAAGTGTCTGGTTCTCCTGAAAACCAATGCAAAATTACCCTGGCCCACAAGGGTATATTATATAACTAACTGTGAATTTTGTATATATATATATATGTATATATATGTCACAAACTTACATGGAATCTTAAAAAAATTATACACTTCATAAAGTCACTGGAACATTGAGAGGCGACAATTGAGTCTAATAATTCAACTAATTTACACATAGGGAATAGTGACATATTCATGAATTAGTATAAAACTAATGTATCTGATTGTCAAATCATTCATGTTTTTCTGAATAACACTGAAGTATCTTGAACTAACAGCAATAACTATTAGGTTAGCTTATAAAACTGAAGTACGACAATGTCCTTCACCTCACAGCCTCATCTATTCCAAAAGATAAATATTCTAAGAAATATTTGTATGGTAGGAACTAAAGTCAATGTAAATAAGTAACATCCTTTATCGCAACAGATTCTGTTGTGACTTTACGCCCGGCCAATTATCGCGTGACATATTCGCCAATCGGAATACGACTTACACAATCTTAGCACTGTGCCAAACTAAGGACGTTCGACCGGTATAAGCAGCTTAGCGTCCTTTTCCTCCTAGCCCTTCTATTTGAGTCAAGAACACCAATACCAGTTCTCATTATACGAATAATTTATTTCAAACATACCTGGTTTATATAAAAGCTAAACAGACATTATACCATGAAATAGGAAATAACATTTGTACAAGATCAAGCCAAAAAGTGACTGTGATTGTGGGAGACTGTAACTAATAAACTGGGCATAACTTAAGAACAATAAGTCGTATAATAATAGTCTATACTCAATAGTTATACAATAAGAACTTATGTATAGTATTAGTCCGTAAATAGATCCCAACAGTTATCATTCCTTATCCTCATTGGGATATAACAGATTCAATTCAAATACACACACTTTGCTAAAACATAACCACTAATACAAATCATTTATGTATAATCTAATTTGAAACACAGAATAATATCTATAAAACCAAGGACTGAATTTTTTCATTCTCCATTTTTGATTCTATACACTAAATAAATTACTCACTCATTTTCATAGTTGAAATCATGAGTCAATTGACGCTAGACCACCATGTAAAACCATGAGTAGTCTAACTGTCCATCGTAAGAATTCCACATATTGGTATTTATTTGTATATGAATTAATTAATTAATTTGCTGTTTTATATAGTTGACATCATGGGTCTGTGGTCTATTGGTTAAGTGCTTTGGCGCGAGACTGGTAGGTCCTGGGTTCGAATCTCGCGAGTGCGGGATCGTGGATGTGCACTGCTGAGAAGTCCTATAGAGGGACGAAACGGCCGTCCAATGCTTCTAGGTTTTTTATGGTGGTCTAGCTTCAATTGACTAATGATTTTAACTATAAAAATACTGAAATCTCCACAAAACCCCTACTGATTATTCACTCATTATTTAAATCATGTCAAATAGTATCCGAATGAAAAAATTGAACACACAATATTCAATTGAACATTTAATATTGGATTAACTAAAAATCAATATTTGAAAAGATATATTCTTCAATATGAAGAAAGAATAACGTATTTGTACTTCTTAGAATATAGAAAGAGTTCATTGGATTTCAATAGAAGTACTATAAAGGTAAATATGCATTTGGACATAAACACGTACAATGACTTGTGTTTACATACATTATATACATATAGTATAAAGTTTATCTGTATTTGCATATATGTACATACATAAATTAAAACAGTACAGTTATAATTGATAGAGCACATAGTGACAAGAAACAAAAAAAACAACCTGTAATGTTACAGTAATTTACATAAACCAGATCGATGAAAGAATATACCTTAACAATTACAAAAATATGTCTTCTTAGTTTTACATTTAAATAAACAGTAATTTTATTATTCACTATACTCAATTTAATGTTCATTTTATTACAAAAGTAGAGTTTTATTGTTTTAAAAACAAACAATAGGGTTGACAATGTTCATATATACAATGACAATGGCATATATCAAGTGAATAATCATGATAAACTATAAAACACTAGGCCTTTAAATACAATACTGGTAATTTAGTTTTATAGAGCTCATCACAAGACTTGAACATCCTTACTGGTAGTTGGTATGCATAAACGAGTAATTATAGACTATAACAAAATAGTAGTTCAGTTTACTTTCTTTCTCTCTCTCTTTTTTCCGATTTACATTGACTGATATGAAAATATAGAGATTCAATTTTTTTTAAAGTATCTTTTCAATTTACCATATTTATCAAAATAATAGACGAAGACAAGATTAGGAGAAATTAAACGATAGTAAAGTGAAACAAAAATCACTGGAGAAAGAATAATGAATGGAAAGAAAAAGGATGTTCAAATATTTAGATAACAAACACTAAATGCATCTATTCTGTGGCATGAGAAAGGACTTCCGTTGTTATATATATATATATATATATATATATATATATATATATATATAGAGAGAGAGAGAGAGAGAGAGAGAGAGAGATGAACTCTAAGTGGTCTTTAGTTTTTCCGTCATAACTCTATGATAGTGTCCGAAAGAAAATAGACTTGAAATATAATTAGATTTTATGGGTTAACTTCTAACATATCTCAGTAGGCGAATGCCTTATATTTGCTTGTTTAACAAGTCAACAACTGAAGACCTCACACATCGACATAATGTTTTAATTTGATAAAAATCTATCAATCTTATCGAATTTATAACTAAAATCCAATGTGAAAGTTATACGATAGCTCAGATTGAGTAAAACGAATATATATATATATATATATATATATATATATGGAGGGTGAACATACTTGGTAATTTCAGACTTCAATATGTATCTTTGGTCACAATCCGTATTTATCTCGGTTTTCTCAAAAGATTGAGTAGAAGAATCTGAATTAACATGCTGACTTTCAGAAAGCTTCGTCGTATGCTGTTGATTTGAGGTATTTATTGCATGAGCAGATGACGACTGAGTTAGCGAATCATGAAATTTTTCACAACTTGTATTGTTAGAATTACATAAAGCTTGTTGGTTTAAAAATGCAAATATGTATGGGATCCCACGAGCAACAATCTGTCATTTTTTTAAATCAAGAAAGGTTTATATATCTTGGAAAATAAATAAGATCTATAAAATGTTACACAATCAAGGAATAATTGTAATTAAACATGGTAAATGTGATCTGCCATATGTCATGGTAAATAGCACTAAGCTCTGACTATCAAGTCAAAAACATTTACTGGTTAGCTAATGAGCAAATATGTTTTCCTGTTTATAATCTGGCTTGTTTAAAGTTTTCATGAGTAAGCAAGGAATAACGTTAATACTATCAACTGATGAAAATAAACAAATACCAGATAGTCATATAACTTTCATGTATTCATGGTATTACGATCGAAATAACTTAAGATGTGAAATTGATGAATTATTATTAATATAAAACGAAAAACTGATGCTACCAAGATTTGAATTACACTCTTTTGTGAATCCTCGAGACACACTATTTAACTGATCAAACTCTAAAGTAAGTGAATTAGGGTTTAAACTAAGGAACCACTACTTGATTGAAAACCAAGTGCTAAGACTACTAAATTATCACTTCAATATTAGTAGTATGGAAATCTCTAATCAATGCTGTAGACTGTTTTCATTTAACAAATTTATATTATCCCATAGGAAAGGATTTTGACTTTTCTACTAAATATAATTATCATCCTAATAACATCCTTTTAACCAAGATTTATTTTCTCATTAAAAGAACGGAAGTTAGACTCGCTTCCTTTCATTACTAAAAATATTTCATACACTAATGAGTATGAATCAATGTGTAGGAACGTGGATTAAAAAACAATTCTCTACAAAACAACTTTTCACGTCATTATATCCATTGTTGTATCAAATTTCCTGTTCAAAATTCAAATAGCCTATGATATTAATATATACTGATTAGAAATGTTTTACTTTGAGTCGATAACCCGGCTTTCTTAACAAATATGTCTAACAGTAAAATAAACAAGATGTCAATCGAATAACAATGATAGTAGAGTTTCAAATCAACTAAATTCGAATCTCTCAATGAAAGTAATAAACCAGAAAAGCAATTGAAGCAAGTCAAATCAATAAAGTAACTAAGCAGACGTTCAAAACATTTATACAATAGTATTAAAGCATATTTCATTGAATGATATTATTTGTACAGTGTGAAGAATCAAATAAATTTGGAAATTTTAGACTATTCGATTCTGAATTAACGAGTCATTGGTTGAGTAAGTTTATTATGAAACTTAAATGTTTTCCATGGTGGTCTAGCTTCAATTGACTCATGATTTCAACTATGAAAATATTGAAATATCCACAAATACCCCTTTTGAATGTTATTTGTTCAAGTAAACATAAAATTGTGGATAAAGCAATCCGATATTAGAATAAAAGCATGGACTAGTGGATTTTAAATGTCAATTGCTCTCATCAGCTGATAACAATTTGTTTTTTAAGAAAAATGGCTTACAAACCAATTATCAGAGAAGTTCGGAAGTTTTATCAGTTTGCTGACTATTACCAAGGATTACATAAGAAAGGAAAGAAAAAAATATTGACTAAATAAGAGAAGTATTTCGAAATGGAATTTATTGTAAAATTTTTAATTGCATGATAAGGGTGAACAAAGTATACGTACTTAAATATGAGTACACAAAATGAAAATCACGAGTTTACACAGTATTTAGTAGACTTTTAACATGGACCTGACTTAAAAATAAATATTTTGTAAACTAAGAAACACTTTAATACTCTGCCCATATGAAACTATCATACTTTATCTTCCCTTTTAATAAATGTGTTTTAGAAATAAATTTAAATCCACAAGACGCAGTTAACTATTTAATAAATCTAAGAGTGATATAATTATTTTACATCATGCAAATACCACTTCTGCTAAGTTCATGCATTTAAACTGCCCTAACTCATTAGAATGGAATGAAATAAGGTTATGAAGTTGATAACTGATGAGCACGTTCACAACAAAGTTCTTAAAAATCTATCGTGTTTGAGCACACTCACTACTATAACTCACAGTTAAAAGGGGAGGGGATAGAGGATTTTCTTCTAGAGATAACTTCTCCAAACACCACATAAATCTAATGTTCAAAGGTAGTTGCTTGACCCCGTTTGAATGCAAGTCCAAAATCTTCAAACAGCGAAGACCAACTATGTCTAAAAATTGAAGTATAAAAGATCAAATTATAACTGATGAATGTATATACATGGCAAATATAAAAATATAAAGTTAATACAGAATTCTATTTGTTAGTATATGAATTCGGAATCGCTAAAGACATTTATATTTTTTAATAATATATTTGATGTCATACACAAAACATGTATGTGAATGGCACCAATGGACTCACAACCATAGATATCTTATGACTTATTATCAAAAAAAGTTTAGTCTCAACATAACTTCACCTATTATCTGCAGATGTGCCAGACTTAATAAACACTGTCAGGCGACATAGCAAAATTTGCTTGCTACAAATGCTCAACGATACTCAACTAAAAAATGAAGTCAAACTTCTTGACAAATAGTCCCGAACTTGAAAATGATTCGCATACACATCGATAGCGTGGCTAGTGTCACATCATCCATTATTTTGTATGAAGAACGCCGTTATTGTTGTCTATAATAGGACGGAAAAAAAACCTGAAGGGCAATAAACGTCAGCTAATCAGTTAAAAACCAGATTGTTGTCGACTAATATAAATATATGTACTACGATGAATGTTGTCCATCAACTAAAAAACTGATATTTATTGACAAGTTCATGATGTTTGCTATTTAGAATCAGATTTATGAAGATTGATGTTATTCGCTCACGTATAGTGATAAATGATAATCACAATATTTTAGTCATCTACTGGAGTTACAAGTGACATGGACATAAATGATATTTTTACTTAGTACAGCATCGCTTCTTACAAAGAAAAACAACAGGTGGTTTAAGAAAAATAAAATTTCAACTCTTGATGCACTCTTTGATGACAAGATAATAGTAAAGTTAATAAAAGCAAATTGTGCTTAAGAAGATTCCACACCCTTTTGCCTTTAGTATAGCAATGTACTAATAGCAGGTTTATGTCCGACATTATTTTTTCTTCTTCTTAATCAACGAAATGTCTAGCGAGGAAAACAAGAATAATCCAATCAAAGTAACTCTATATATAGAGTTACGCTAACATATTAGCGTTAAAAAATTATTAAATGGCCTGTACTCTAGATAAAAGCCTTAAAACTGATAAATGTAAAAGAAATACAATATGCATCAAATTATTATTCAGCTCCAAATTAATTCGAATGAACATACCTTCTGGAAGTGTTTCAATCAGGTTACATCCTAATAGTAAAACTTTTAAACTTTGAAGTGAGCAAATCGAAGGAAAGCATTTAAACCTATTGAATGACAGATCCTGAAATGTAATTCAACATTTATAAGGGACATTACCAGCTCTTGCAAGTTTTGAAGTTCACAAATACTTGCAGGAAGAGACGATAAATAATTGTTTGACATCAACAAAATCCGAAGGCTCGGCAATTTACATAGTGAACTCGGAAGAGAAAAAATTTTGTTGAAGCTGAATTACAATGCTGAAATAGGGAGGTTGAAATACCTTAAATCCAAAGTTGTAAGCAGTCTGTATTGTTCGATTCCATTTGGAACATTTGTTATGAAGTTTCGGGATAAATCCAAATGTTCGACAAACTTCAAAGTTTCCGAAATATTAGAGAAATCCCTCAGCCTGCAATTGGAAAAGACTTTATACAATTTTTTTGAAAAAAATATTATTTCGACATACTTGCTTGGCGGTTTGAATAGTAATCATAAAAAATAGAATCCTTATTGTCTGTGTCATTTTTCAAGGCATCGTCTGACTTATTAGACACTACAAAGCTATCAAGCATCAATATTCATTCATTTCCCAAAGATGAAAGTTCGTAAACGCAACGGCGTTATGACCTTTAACAGGAGTGCAGTGAAACACAGACAAATAACAATATGAAGGTAGCATGAATATTCATTTTAATTTCTTATTGAACAAAAGCAAATTAATTAATGAGTTTGACTGATCAGAGTATAAAGAGATGAAATCCATCGTAGTGAACCCTCAAGCTCCATACCTTCAAAAATTATGGAATCCCTAGTATACGACGGTATACTAGAATACTTATCATCCTCAAAGTTCTTCTCGCCTCAACAGCATGGTTTCAGAAAAGGTCATTCTTGTATGACCAACCTGCTGACTGCGGTGGATAGATGGACAACCATCCTTGATCGCAAGGGGAAGGTTGACGTCATTTACCTGGACTTCTCAAAAGCTTTTGATAGGGTCAACCATGCATGTCTTATCAAGAAGCTTGGACGATTGGGTATAAAACCCCCTTTAATTGACTGGATCACTTCATATTTAGAAAACCGACCGAAGTTTCCGAAGTCGAAAAGGTCTTAGGAGTGTTGGTACCCTACGACCTGAAATCGTATGCGAACTGTGACAAAAACGCCTCTCAAGCAAACCTTGCACTGGTAACATTGAAGCGCATTTTTGGCCAGTTTGACGGTAGAACCTTCCATATAATCTTCAACAGTTTTATTCGTCCCCACTCAGAGTACGGAAACATAGTATTTCCTCCCTCCCTCCAAAAGGATAAGGACACCCTGGAACGTATCCAAAATCGAGCCACGAAATCAGTTCGGGGACTCAAATTCAAACCTTATGAAGAGCGCCTCCAATCACTTAACCTTTACCCGTTAGAGTACAGGCGTCTTAGAGGTGATCTTCTTATGACTTATAGTATCCTTAGTACTCCTGTTCATCCCCATAAACATCTTCTCAAGCTTAGTCATAACACTAACCTAAGAGGTAACACCCAAAAATTGGAGACCCTACATAGCAGAACAGACTGCAGACACAACTTCTACTCCGTTAGAGTTGTCAAGTGCTGGAATTCGCTGCCGACTGAGTAAGTCCAAGCGACCTCCCAGGAGTCCTTTAAGAGAAAACTTGACTTATTCTTAAGGACTAAGGATAACTTATTATGACTTACCAAATTCTTTTTTTCCTCTATTACCGTTCATATACCTGGGTTTTTGCCTGGACGTATTGGTGATCCACTGCTACCAGACACGGAAGCCCGTTAAGCGAAAGCTTCTTTTATTCCGTCCTCAACCATTTGAACCATTTGAAACATATCATATCCTACCATAACTCATGTGTTAAATAAGTTCGTGAAGATGTCTGAAGTTTAAAGACAATGATTCATGAATGTCTCAACAAAAACACTACGACGTCATTGAAATACATAAAAACTTATTTAAAGCGAAGAGTTTTCGAAAATTTATTGACATCATTCCGGAAACGTGAAAATATTTAATATCTTTTGACGAAGTTGACGCGACCATGGGAAACATTTGTTCATTGCAGTATGTCCAATATTATATCTGATCACATCATTGTTGTGGTAAGCGTCATGTGCGTCGATTATGCTAAGTATAACTCGTTGACTCAGAAGACGGAGTTTTTACCAAGCCAAAAATTGTTTTTAGTAATTTAAGCGGGGATGATAGTACAGTGTATCGACTAGTTCTTATCTCTGTGCCCATATATCCTCTCCTCCGTTTAAAAAAGTCAAACAAAGTATTGGGTAATATACTTTCACTTCTTTGACCTACTGTAATATTTTGGAAACTAGTTTTTGGGCCAAATATTTCTGTATTTACTTTCTTCTCATATGTTTTTGATTTTTTAATCTTAGCAGTGCTTGCAGGAGCATTCATGCTAAGATTAGATGTTTGGGTATATTATTATGAGATCTCAGATGATTAAAGACATGGCCACTAACTACAATAGGTACACATTGATTATCTGAAGTTCACACGGGCGTAAGTGGGAGATAAGCCGTCTGCCTTGATAAATCAGAGTATTGGCTAACAGAAGACATACTAGTCTTACGACTGGGAACGAGAACTTCTTATGTCTTTTATTTAAGCGAAAACAGTCAAAAATACTAAACTGAAAGTTAGTTACTCCACGTATCGAATGCTTCGCGGATTTAAAGGGTATTTTGTCAGGTTTGTTATAGATAATGACATTATTTCAATATATTATTCGCCAAGTATCTTCACTAGCAATAAAATCGATCTCTGGTGCTGCCCTAACGATGCCCTAAAGGTCGGTTGGAACCACGTCTTCTAACAGTAGTAGTAATATTAGGGGTAGAGCCTTCATTGGTTGCTTAAGATTCTAGCGTATTGATGAAGAACCTGCATGGCGAACAAAAACTAGTGATGGTATTCTCGCGTTACTTTACACGAAATTTAGATTTGCTAGCTTAATTAGACTCATTAAGAGCTGAGACATTTGCAAACTATTTTGTGAAGTCTACGTGTTGTGTTACAAATATTTGTCCCAATCACACCGAGATACTAGCCATAAGATCTGTACATGTAACTGAGGAAACTGTTCTTCCATTGATAAATAACGTCAAACCTTGTAAGATACCGGGCCACGATGGGTTACATACACGTTTTATGCCATCGCTTGCGGATATTATTTCAAGACCGATCACGACGCTCTCCAATATGCCCCTTTTACTCACTCAAATCCCCGGAGATTAGAGAGACGTTATAGTCAGTCCTATATTTAAGGATGGTCAGAAACGGGTCGTATCTAACTACCGGTCTGTCAGCCTGACCAACATAGTCGTTAAGTTACTTGGCAAAAGAGAATTGGACAGCATCCCTACATAACGGACTGTCTGTCGATGTGATATTCACATATTTTAGCAAAGCGTTTGACAAGCTTTCACACTTAGATCTTATACAGAAGCTCTCGAGCTTTAGAATAACAGATGCCCTACAGGAATAAATAGGAAACTTCTTGTGTGACCTCAGACAGAGAGTGAGGTTCAATGGAACGCTATCCGAATGAAAGTTGGTCAAAAGTAGTGTGTCTCAAGGCACCATCTTAGGCCCTTTACGCTTCCTTCTCTATGTTGACGATTTACCTCTAATGCTTAAGTCGTCCACATTAATGTTTGCGGATGATGTTAAAATCTGGAGAACAATAAGAAGTGAGGTTGATCATTTTCACTTCAAAGCTCACTTAAACGAAATAGTTAGACGGGCTCGTGGTTGGGGCTTAGAAGTCGATTCAAGGAAGATCGTGCTCATGCACATCGGGTACGGAAATAGTTACCATCATACTATTATTGCTATTATTATTATTCACAAACATCTTATGGGTACATAAGTGCTGTGAAGAAACCATTTCGGGTTTCTTCAAAAATGCAATAATACAAAATTTTCAATAATGTTTCATTCCATTTGCCATGTTTGAGAATGGAAGGAAAAATAAAATATTAATAATAGAATAGTAATAATAAATCAGGTTCTGCGTAATTGGCAAGAATTTTGAATTGGTTTTGATGGAGGAAAGGAAGAAACTAAGGAAATAGAAATAAAGGAGTCGCGGAATACGTAAATATCTTAACGTAGAACAAGAATAAACAACTATGTATGTGAAGCAAGACGAGCAATAAAAATAAAACTACTATTGTTTGTAAGTTTCTTCCACGCGTTCAAGAGTATTAAGACTTGGGAGTAATAATAATCCATGACATGAAAGCAATTACGCACTGCAACACAGCCCATGTCTGATAAAGGATATCAACTCAATTGAGCGTGTCCAGCGTGTGGGAACGAAATTAGTCAAGGGTCTTTCTAAACTCCCTTACAATGAGCGTTTAAAACGCCTAAACCGTTTCCCCTAGTCGTACCGTAGGACGCAAGGTGACCTTATACTGGCATTATCTTGAATTATGATTTGGGTGTTTATATGTCCTATTTTTTTGCTCCATCCAGCACTGATAATATCCGAGGTCATAGGTAGAAGATCCACAAACAACGATCTAATAAACTCAAAGTGGGGTCCCTTTTTTCAACGAGTGGTCAATGACTGGAACGCATTACTCAAACAAGTGGTATCAGCCCCACCAGTTAACATTTTCAAAAAGAAGCTGGACCTTCACTGGAAGGTAATCTGTCAGGATTAACACATGTTCACTAACCTACTGTCCCTATTACTGAAGACTGACTCCAACTTGGAACTCATATCACTTTATTGCTCACATGTTATGTCTGATTCACTCTTTCTGTCATACATGCTATTGTGCCTTGAAAAAGAACTCGTAAATAAATTCGATACTAAGTCGACCGGACACAAGCATGACGTAAGGCCGATCCTAACATCATCAGGTGCGAAAGGATTCAGTCAGCATGAGGTACAGCTAATAACAGATCTGCTATTATATGAAGCATTCAGGGTTTTCCTGACTCGTTGTTTTGATAGACAACTCATTTTCATATTGTTAGTCATAACACCATATATACGTTATATGCCACAATAATAACTATAAGCGCTTTATCAGAGAGTGTATTGCTGTAACAAAAAGGTCAAAAGTACTGCACACACATAAGTGCGCGAAGAATTCCAACATCTCAGATTATGGCAGTCTATGCGCTCAAAATTATGCAAAAAGTAATTAGTCAACAATTTTCACGAAGTAGTGGGATATAAAGAGCAAAGACTTCTCGAATAGTAAGGAACGGAGGTGAGATGAGCAGGCAGAACAAATACAATCGATAGTTTTAGTTTTTAAATCCCTATATTGTCCTCAGACGGATGTTTTATGGAAAATGTTAGCTAGGACTTTACAAGGTGCTATAACATCAGCAAACACAAACTATCATGGAAAACCAAAAAATGGTGTTGATACTTTCTTATCTATATAATGAAGTCATGCATAATGATCAGGAATATAAACTGTAGTGAACGAGGACTGGGTGGGGAAACCAATTTATTATACAATGCAAAACCACAACACAACTCAGTAAAATATGAAAACCATAAATTAAATGCATTACTTGCACACCTTTCTCCAGCTGTCCTTTAGATACTTGATAACTATTCTAATCCCATTGTTAT